CCACCTCTCATAAACTCACCGTAGGGTCAGAAGTGTGTGTGTGTGGCATATCTGGTCATGTCTGTGTAGTGCAGCCTGTTGTTTTTATCTGAGCACTAATGCAGACTATATCTATTTTAGCAGGGTGTTCTGCCCACGATAACACTCTTTCTTGTCAGGTTTGATTAGCCCCAAGTGAATGCTCACATGGCTAAACCACTTCTGCTGCTGGAGGTAGTTTGGATGTCTCCATGCAGAGCTGCATTACATCATAATGTGTAATAAAGATTTTGCAAATCAAATATGGCTCCTTCTAATGCCTAAATGACAGACAAGATGGTGGCACCAGTTGTGTGAGCAGATGCACTTACAGCAATTGCCAGTGGCTGTTCAGTTGTATTAGAGTGCAGGTTACTTTTCCACAGGGCCTTTTGATCCTGACATTAATAGAAAATAAAGAGCAATTTTTCTCACTAAACATCATGGCAGCTGATACAACCGGTTGGGGTCTGCTGGCGGTGACAGTGCTAAACTTACAGTTGCTTTTGCAATAGCTGCCTCTCAAACCCCAAACCGTGGCCCAGCAGTGATGCAGGAAATGAGGCTCCTCTTCCTTCCCCAACAGCAGATTTTCCTTGTGAACATCGTGCCTGCAGTGTGTGTCTGAGACAGAAGTACCCCAGCAGCCTCCTCCTGACACTCAGCTCTCATTTTACAGACCAAGCATGGCCCTCCCACAGCAGATCCTGCTGGGTGAGTTCTGATGGGCCAGCTTACTGGGAGAAATTTCGTTTTGCTTCTATGTAAAGAAAAAAGTCACAGAATCACAGAATCAATTAGGTTGGAAAAGACCTCTAAGGTCATAGAGTCCAGCCTTTGTCCGAACACCACTTCCCAACTAGACCATGGCACTAAGTTCCATGTCCAGTGTTTCCTTAAACACATCCAGGGGACAGTAACTTCACCAGATCCCAGGGCATTCTGTTCCAATGTCCAGTCAGCCTTCCAGTGAAAAAATTCCTCCTGATGTCCGACCTAAACCTCCCGTGGTGCAATTGGAGGCCATTTCCTCTCGTCCTGTCACTGGTTGCCTGGGAGAAGAGCCCAATCCCCACCTGGCTGCAACCTCTTTTCAGGGACATGTAGAGAGCAATAAGGTCACTCCTGAGCATCCTTTTCTCCCAGATAAACACCCCAGCTCCCTGACAGCTCGTCGCAAGATGAATGCTCCAGACCCTTCCCCAGCTCCGTTGCCTTTCTCGGGACACGCTCCAGCACCTCCACGTCTATCCTGTAGTGAGGGGCCCAGAACTGGACGCATCACTACATGTGTGACCCGGGGGAAAAATCACTCCCCTAGTCCTGCTGACCACGGGGCGACCCCAAACGAAAAGAACCCAGCCAGGGCGCATCCAGACTGTGGG